TATCTATCTATCTATCTATCTATCTATCTATCTATCTATCTATCTATATTTGTGTGTGTGTCAGTGATGGGATTCAAAAATTTTCACTACAGGTTCTATGGGCGTGGCTTGTTAGTCATGTGACTGGGAGAGCATGGCTTGTTGGTCATGTGATTGGGTGGGTGTGGCCAAATCGATGTCTCACAACAGCACAGCGCTCAGTGCTCAGCCACAAATTTCAATCCTAACCCTAACTCATAACCCTAACCCTGTAAGAATGAGATGTAAAGAATGGCTGATATTTGAACAATTAATTAATAATTGAAAAATAAACACTTAAAATGGAACAATTACCAAACCAAGGGAGCTTGTTACTTTGTGCCAGTATTGCCACAAAAATCTTTCCTAGCTATCTTACCTATCTTACATTAGCCCAGGGCTTACCTGGACCAACAGTCCCTAATGGAATGAGAGCTGTAGCAGAGAGAGAAGCCAGGGGATTTAGGGGAAGCCATGTTTAGTCACCTAAGCCATTAAGACTTTTCATCTTAAAAATGTAGTGAAGCTTTTTTCAGCATTCCACCCAGGCGGCATTGTTCTGTGGGAACTTGGAAGGACCATACCAGAAACCTCACAGCAACAGAAACCCCAGAAAACATGGCCAAGAAACTCAAGCCAGCCCTTCCCCCTTTAGAAAAACCAAGAATCACCAGCTGAAAGAGATAACTCAGACAGACAGAGCTGACAATAGAAACAATTAAGTGGAGCCATTAAGATAAGGAGAATCAGGCTAAAAATAACTCACCAAGGCATTAATTAACCTATTAAGGCAAGAAGACAGATCCAGGGTAATCACTTTAACTAGAGGCACACAAATAAACTCATCAAGCTGCAGGAGCTTCAAAGAGAACCTAAAAAGCTCAAATTCACACTTCCAGTCTGCTTTTGCAACCCAGGAATGCTTGGGCAACCGAGCTGTGTCACACTAGCTTTTTGCCTTCCTTCATTAAAGAATCCCACTAGTGTGGTAAATTTTTAAGAGAGCAGGGGATTGGGGTCCAACAAAATGGGGACAAACAAAAAAGATGAGAGACACCGTATTAAAGGGTAGTCATTTTTTGTGAGTAGTAAGCTTTTAGTGGTTTTTTCAGCGTCTCACACAGTTCATTTGGAATCTCAGACTCCTCCCTCCCCTGAGTTCTAGTGGTTACCAGGGCTACTAGCTTCTTTAAGGGGATAACAGATCTGACCACTTCAGCTGTTATATTGGGACAATCTAGACAAAGCATCTGCCATAAAATTCTGCGCCCCACCCGGGACATAAACAGAGAGTGAAATTGAAACGATTAAAGTGTTGAGCCCAACAGATTTGTTTAGGGGATAGCTTGCATGGAGTTTTCAGGGCTTCCAGATTTTTATGGTCAGTCCTTACCTTAAATGGCATCCTTGCTCCTTCCAGGGAATGCTGCCAAGTTAGTAGGGCTCACCGCACTGCATACACCTCCTTCTCCCATATCGCCTACCTCTGTTCAGTCTCGGTGAGTTTCTTAGAAGTGTACGCACAAGGCTGTAGCAACCTCTGTAAATTCCTCTGCAATAACACTGCTCCCACAGCTACATTACTCGCATCGGCCTGAATTACAAATGGGGCCTCTGGGTCGGGGTGCTTCAGCACGGGTTCTACTGTGAACAGTCATTTGAGGTTTTCAAACGCTGCCTGGCACACCATGGTCCACTTAAGTGGCTGATCTGGTTTTGGCTTCCCTTAGTTTTTAAAAAGTTGGTGATTGGCTATGTGATCTTTGCAAAGGAGGGGATGAACTGTTGGTAGAAATTGGCAAAACCCAGGAAGTTTTGCAATTGTGTCCTAGTCTGGGGAGGGGCCCACTCTAACACTGCATTTACCTTTTCTGGGTCCATTTCCACTCCTTCATTTGAGATACATAACTCAGGCAATCAATCTTATCTTGGTGAAATTCACACTTTAAAAGTTTTGCACACAGTTCAGCGGTTCAGAGCCTTTTAAGAACTGCCTGCACCACTTTCATATGTTCCTCTCTCATTTCAGTGTATATGGATATTTTATACTCCTTTGTACAAAAAGTCATGCAGCACCACATTGATTAGTTGCAACCATGGGAGGCCCCTGTAAGCCAAAAGGGGGCACCTGGAACTGAAAACATCCCAGGGGGCAATTAAACACAGTTTTCCATTCATCGCCCTTCTTGATTCGTATCCAGTAGTAAGCTTCCTGCAAGTCTAACTTAGTGAAGATTTTTGGCTAGATGTGCCAGCATGTCTTTCATCAGCAGCAGTGGGTAGACATTTTCTATGCACACCGCGTTTAGCCCACTATAATCAATGCATAGTGAAGAGTCCCACCTATCTTCTCCCAGAACAAAACTGGGGCTGCCACCCATGGCCTTGCTGGTTGAATAAATCAGTTTTAAGTTCTTGTCTATGAAGGTGAGAAGCTCTCCTAGCTCATGTGGAATCATAAAGTTTAGGCTTTGGGAGTTTAGCTCCAGGAAGGATTTCAATACTGCAATCTGTGCGGTGATGGGATGGGAGCGAATTAGAGCCTTTCTCTCTAAATACATATCTCAAGTCCCAGTATTAAACATTCATTTGACTAAAATATTTTTCCATCATTTTATGTGAGATATTCTAAATTTCGTTATGGTTTAATCTTATACATTCATCCAATGGTTATATATTTTATATTGTATTCTATATCAATCTATTATAACTTTTTTAAAATAAAGTTTTATTTGGGTTTTCACACATACAAAATACAAGTAAAACATCTTTTTTGAAAATAGCATGGTCCCGGGTTGAACTTCTTTATACAGACACAAAACTCAATTTCATGCTCCTTTTTGTGTTCTATTCCATATCTTATACTATTCTACATTTTCTATATAGTTTTTCCCCTCTTTTAATTTTCTCAATTTTATTTTGATTATCTCATCTCAATTCAAATCATTATATTTATACTTTTGTCTGTTCTGTTTCAATTTCATATTATCTTTTCTCATTAAACAAATTTTCTCCTGTAGTTACTAAATTGGAGTATGACACCTTTATATCTTTTAATTACATCCATTCAACTCTTATTTAAACTTCAATATATACCTTAAGGTTATGACCTTCAATATAATACATAATACATAACTTCCAATCGAATTCTGCTTGGTACATTCTTATAATACACACTATATTCTTTTTAAAAATTTACAATCTTTCTTTTTTTTAAAAGAATATAGTGTGTATTATAAGAATGTAATACACACTATATTCTTTAAAAAAAAAAAGAAAGATTGTAAATATATGTAATTATAAACCCTCATTCCATTCCAATTCAGTTCTATCATTAATAATCATTAAAATCTTAACATCTTTAACACTTCTTTTCAATTAAATATCATACTTCCTTAAAGACACATATAATCTCCATAATTAATTTTTCCCTTATTTCTCTTCACATATGTTTTGTAAATCATTAAATATTCATTTTGTTACATTTATTTATTGACAAGCATTCCACTGAATTACAATAGCTATTTTATCAAACATTTTAATCATACATTGTTTCATATTTTCTAAAATTATTTCTGTTTCTAATATAACAATACTATCTTATGTACCTTTGCAGAATCCCTTTTTCCATTAAATTTTCACCCATTATCTCTAAATAGGCCCTGTTTCTCTATATTTTGTTTCTGTCCTTTATAACTTCTTTTCCTTTCTTTCTTCCCTCTCATCTTCTCCCTCCCCTTTTTACCCCCTTGTCTCTCTACTTCTAATTCTCTCTTCTGCATTTCCCTCTTCTGTTGCTTTCTGATTTTATACTTATTTTTTACTCTATTTTTTTTGGAGTTGTTTTTCCCAATCTTAAACTTTCCATTCTCCTTCCCCCCTTTCCTTTTTTCCCCCCACCTAAGATTACTTGTTCATTAAAGATGGCTTCTTCTTTGTCCCAATCTTCTTGTTCTGCAGGCATTTCTTGTTGTTTCTCATAATTCCAAATCTCCATTTCTAAAAACTGAAATATGAAGCCAAAAGAACCTCTCCCTTCTTGTGCATCTTCCATTTTCAGTTCTTCTAAAAGTGGAGCCATTTTAAACAGTTTTAAACAACCACCCGATTGATTTTAGTCATTCAAATACAATAACCAAAAATCCAGAAATCATCAAGTAATCCAAATAGTCCCAAGTTATTTCTTCTTATTTCTTTTTCCACTTTCTCTTCCTGGGGTTTTTGTTGCGATATTTTAGTTAAAATGTATCTTTTGGAAGTCTTGTTGAGATTTTGCTGTAAGTTCTTTTTAATTCCAGGCAGTCTCCTCCCTTCCAGATCCTGCCCCTTTATTCTTTTTCTCTCCTTTCCTGTTTTCAAAAGCTTTTGATTATCCAGAAATCTTTATTATCCCTTTGACTTTTTATTTTCAGCATTAAATGCCTATTAATGTCAAAGTGGATTTTTTTTCCAATTTCTTGCTTAAGTCTCTTAGCTGTCAGTATAGGAAAAGGAGAAAAAAAAACCAAATCTTTTCCCTT